TAATTAACCATTGTAACAATTGGGCAAGTGTTGTGGTGGATTCTTCATCCCTGACAATTTTTATTTCGTGAGTAGATATTTTCTAAAACCTCTGCGCTTGGAATATTTTGGGCCATGTCCTCAGTTAAGTTATACAGTAGTTCAGACTAAAAGGCCATAATGGTCCCTTCTGGCCTCGGAATCTAGTTTCTTCAGGAGAGGAAGGGAGGGAGGTCCACTCCAGCACATCCCACAGAGCAATCTAACTGAAGAGCAGTGCTGAATTAAATAGCAGCTTTCTTTGAGGTAAAAAGATTTTAGAATATCTTCTTAATGGATGTTTTATTAAGGATCTAATTTCTCTATGTGTTACCAGCCCAATATATACAACATCACAAAACTGAAACTACTGGTGAATTACAGGTGCCTGTTTATAAAGTGTCCTGTTTATAAAGTGGTACATAGATTTACAAAAGCACAGAGTGATTAGCTAGGCTTTTATGTTGCCTTGTTCAACATGCGGCTTTCAAGGGCTAGCTCAGTAAAATTTTAAGATAAGCGATATGCCCTGTAAATCCCTCACAGAGCCAATGAGAGTTCTGGTATCTTCACTTGCTGCCCATCAAGACCTGGAGTAAGTTTACACACTGCTGGATTGATTCTCTACCACCTGCTCTTTGTTTACCTTGCATACTAGGGCAAAGTAAGTGCAGAATGAGGAGTACCGATTGCCAGTGGGGGCTATCCTCAGCATTCAATTTAGGGGTCTACACTAGACCTGCTAAATCGAACGCTAGAACATCAACCTCCAGAGGGTCAATCTTCTCTGTAGTGTAGACATGCCCCGAGCTTTTTCCTTGCTCCCTTCCGTATGACATGCTCTGTGAGCCTGTGCTTTATATTCTGTGACCCAGCAGGCCCACTCTGTCTCATGCATCTTAGCATTTATTGAGTAGCATGTTTAACCCCCTTGGCATCGGTGAGATTACCCCAGTGAGTAAGTGCTGCTCAGCGTGGGTAATGGCTACAGAATCAGATGCAAAGTAAGATTTTTCTTGATCTTGACTTTGCCTTGTGTCTCCAATCTCCCCCACCTCCACCCTCCATTCTGGTAGGGACTTTTTTTTTTCTGGACTACTTTGAGCTTTTAGCAATGAGAAAAATCTCGTAAAATTTGCCTCTTTTCATTTATAGCAGCGGTTCCCAGCTTTTTCCAGATGGGGACCCATTTTGACAATTCAGGAAGACTTGATGACCTAAGGCAATTCAAAAACGGGGAGAATGAGGGGGCAGTGCCACCTGGGGAGACACTTGGCAACCCTTTTGAAATGTAATGGTGACCCATATTTGGGTCCCAACACATAGGTTGGGAAACCCTGATTTACAGTAATTCTAGACGGGGCAGGGTGGGTGGGGATTGGGGAGGGGAGAGGCTGGAACAATTTGTACATGAACCAAACTGTAAAGCCTGCATATGATGGAAACCACTCATGCCAGAGATGCAGCAGCCCCGCAGCACTCCTACTTATAGTTCCTGTTATTACTGTGTCATCATTTTATACCACAAGTGAATAAACAGACAATTAAAATACACACATTTAGAAGCAATAGTTAAATTCAGCATAAGAGATTTCTCAAAAGCGGGAGATTCTATGTATGAACTATTTAGAAATAGTTGAATAATCTAGGTGCCTTTAATGAACTCAACATTAACATAATTTTAAATACCATTATACAGACTCCTTGGACATCGCTGAAATTGTAGCATCTGCTTTCCTCAGGGCCTCTTGCTCTGTGAGGTCCATGAAGTTATGGGTCTGGAATTGTAAGGGAAGTAAGTGCCTGGATTATGGTGGGTTATTTCATGGAAAACTGATAGAATCAGATACTGATGGGGCAGGTGAATAGGGTCTTTGAAATTTGTTTCAATGAGACTCAAAAGTGATTTGAAAGGACAGAAGTGTGTGGTGGAGAGATTGCAAAGTGGCATTTGTGCTAGAAAGTGGTTTAAGAAGAAATTCAGAATTTAAAACCAGAACAAGCTGGAAGTTTCAGATATCTTTCCCATTAGCACTGGATTAGTTTGTGAAATACCGTAGCACAAAGAACAGCGTGTGCAGGAGCCTGTAATTCTTTGCAAGTTTATTTTCAGTTCACAGTGAAAGTGTACCTTGAATGAGTATTACACTGTAAGGCTACGTCTAGACTGGCATGATTTTCCGGAAATGCTTTTAACGGAGAAGTTTTCCGTTAAAAGCATTTTCGGAAAAGAGCGTCTAGATTGGCATGGACGCTTTTCTGCAAAAGCACTTTTTGCGGAAAAGCATCCATGTCAATCTAGACGTGCTTTTTTGCAGAAAACAAATCTGAGCTGTCTATACTGGCCCTTTTACGCACAAGTTTTGCACAAAAGGATTTTTGCCTGAATGGGAGCAGCATAGTATTTCCGCAAGAAGCACTGATTTCTTACAGTAGGAAGTCAGTGCTTTTGTGGAAATTCAAGTGGCCAGTGTAGACAGCTGGCAAGTTTTTCCGGAAAAGTGGCTGATTTTCCAGAAAAACTGGCCAGTCTAGACACAGCCTAAGTGCGCTGAGCTCCCAGCCTGAGCACCTGTCATTTAATCACTTGGGCCTTTCTGTATAGAAGGAATTAGGCTGTAACTCAAATGCTGGCAGTGGACAGGAATGTCTGTAGGATTAAGTGTTCGTCTGGTGCAACTGCACATGCTGCTCTAGTCTTTGGTGTTATTGTGCATATTGGCAGACAGAGACTGTGAGCATCTCCCCCTTCTCCTGGATGGCTGTCTGGGCAATGTACCTGAGAGGGGAAAGGAGGAGAGGTTTAAAGAGAGGCAGCCACTTGCTTCACGTGGATTGTGAGGCTGCTTGCCAGTGAGGTAGGTAGAGAGAGACTGTGAACAGTGCAATGTGACATGTGATGGATGATTGCTACAAAGCAGGGAACCTCTGGATGGTGAGAGGGACAGAGGATGGGCAGGACGTTCTCACTTGGACCCCCAGTCAACTTGTGCAGTCTCCTTACATGGAGCTACCCTGGGTGCTCTGCATAGTGCCCTCCTTTCTCCCCTGCTGGCAGTGCTCTGCCAGAAGCTCCCTACAGAAAGGAGATGTACTCAGTGATGCCAGTCTCCTGGTCCCCCTCATGGTGTCCTTTCCTGGCACCTTGTGAGTGCTGAGTGGCTGAACATTAGTATGCTGGGAGCTATGCAGAGATGCTTTGGACCCACCCTCGGAGCTCACTGTCATGCTGTACATGCGTTTGTAGGCAACTAGCACCCCAGAGCATTGTCCTGGGCTGGCACAGTATCCAGGCATGGGCCCTGATGGCAGTCTGTGGCTGTAGAGGCATCTCTGGATAGAATGTGGAATTTCAGAGTAGTCATGGGAGGGCATGAAGGGATGATTAGTTTGACATGACTCATTCTGCACTGAACTGTTAGCACTGCAGTCTTCCTCTACCTTCCCCTGCCTTCTTCATTGCTAGATCCTTCCCTGGGGAAGACCATGCTCCCACATCAGCTCCAGACTCTTAACCAGAGTCCCTTGTTCTATCAGAGTCAGAGGCCATTGAGGTTTACACCTGCCTCTGAGTGGAGGTTGAAAAAACCAGTCCTTTGCAACTGCATGTAGAGCCACGGATTGCCAATTAGCATGTTCAAATGCCCTATTTCTGTATTGCAATAGGTCTGCATCTAAATAGCATAGCTCAGCAAATGCAGACTGGCCTAAAATGCACGCACGCATGCACACACACACACACACGTCTCCTCTCAGAGGCAGACTGCCATCAGTCGATCAGAATGATGGGTGGAGCACAGTCCTGCGAAGTAGCACATGGCTCTGTCAATCATACTCATGGAACACTAGAACTGGAGAGGACCTCAAGAGGTCATTAAGTCCTGTCCCCTGCACTCATGGCAGGACCAACCACCATCTCTGATACATGTTTATCTGATCTGCTCTTAAATATCTCCAGAGATAGAGATTCCACAACCTCCCTAGGCAACTTATTCCAGTGATTAACCACCCTGACAGGAAGTTTTTCCTAATGTCCAACCTAAATCTCCCTTGCTGCTATTTAAGCCCATTGCTTCTTGTCCTATCCTCTGAGATCCAGGAGAACATTTTTCCCCTCCTCCTTGTAACACCCTTTTAAAGTACTTAAAAGCTTCTGTCATGTCCCTCATCAGTCTTCTCTTTTTCAAGCTAAATAAATCCAATTATTTCTGTCATCCCTCATAGTTTGTTTTCTAGACCTTTAATCATTTCTGTTGCTCTTCTCTGGAGATGCTCCAGTTTCTCCACATCTTTCATGAAATGTGGTGCTCAGAACTGGACACAATTGACATCTAATCAGCACAGAGTAGATCAGAATCTACTGTGTCTTGCTCACGACACTCCTGTTAATGAATCCCAGAATCATGTTTGCTTTTTTTGCGGCAGTGTCACACTGTTGACTCATATTTAGCTTGTGGTCCACTATGAACCCTAGATTCCTTTCTGCAATACTCCTTCTCTTGCAGTACTACTTCCCTTGCAGTTATGTTGCTTCCTTCCATCCTGAAGGCCAATATTGGTAGAGTGGTGCTGCTCCCAGAAGCCGATGAAGTTGTCAGTCCTGAATGGATGTTTGCAGATGGTTGTACCTGGAGAAGAGCTCTGTGTGGCTCAAAAGCCTTTCTCTTTCACCAACAAAGTTGATCCATTAAAAGATACCTCACCCTCTTGTCTGTCTACTGGCCTACATGATTTCATCATACAGCTCAGCCTGTGCTGTCTATAATATGAATACACTGGCTCAGACCAAGGGTCCATCTAGCCCAGTATCCTGTCTGTTGATAGTGGCCAATACCAGATGCCCCAAAGGGAGGGAACACAACAGGGAATCGTTACATGATCCCTCCCCCATCACCCATTTCCAGACAAACAGAGGCTAAGGATACCATTCCATCCTGGCTAATAGCCATTGCTGGACCTAACCTCCATGAATCTATCTAGTTCTTTTTTTAACCCTGTTAAAGTCCTAATCTTCACAGCATTATTTGGCAAAGAGTTCCACACTCTTATTGGTCTGTTACAATGTGACTCCTATTCAATTTCTGCTGCTTGGGCGAGGAACAGCATTTTTCCTTCCTTGTGTGGATTTGTTCAGCTAGAGTACATACCTCCCCCATCTGCACATTGGATCACTGTGAACAACACAGATAGGCACACACACATGTACACAGAACCAGTGACCATAGCAAACAATTGGCATGTAAAACCTTAAAATAAATCCAAAAAATGTTTCTTCATTAGACATAATTATTCTTCTGAACACAGTAACATTTCAAACTAGAGTACCACATGTCAAAATGCCAATCATGTAAAATGATAAACAAATCTGAAGGAAATATGCCAATATACATATGTCAGAAAAACTGCAGGACAGAGTAGCAAACAAAATACAACTAATGTGTTATGACCTATGTAAAGGAGACAAACAGTTCTCTTCTTGATTGCACTGAAAGCATAGTAGAAATGTACAGACACAGAGATGACCTGTGAAATCTGTAGTGTGCATCCACAGGGTCCCATTCCTGATCAGGGTGCAACTAACTTTTCTTGGTTGCCAGATTCACCGAAAACAATATCCTTCCTCTCTGTTAACCACCATCAAAACTGCAAGGACGTGCACCTCCACATCTACAGGAACACTCAGATTTTGCTTTGATTTCCCATGTGGGATTAAGAGATAACTTGGGATGGAACAGGCAATGTTAACCCATGTCAGAAGGGACAATCTTCAGCTTTGGGCAAGCTTGGAAACTTGTCTGTGTCGCCAGCAGAAGCCGATCCAATAAAAGCTATGACCTCACCCATCCTGTTTGTCTAATATGCTGGCACCTACATACCTACACTGCAAGAAATTTCCCATTCTTTTCTACGGTTGCAGGAGCACAGCATGTGGTGAGGAGGAGGGCTCCAAAGGATCCTTTATTATGCTGCCCTTTAAAAGATATTTTTAAATCTCACTTTCTTCAAAGACTTCCACCGTTGTCTCCCCAGTTGTGATTTCTCCTTCGCTGCTGTCAGACACACTTGCCCTGGGGTGGGGCTTTCGAATAGGGCCTGTTTCTGGACTAATATCTGCTCCCCTCTTCGACAGCACCTGCTGGAGCTGCATAGCCCAGGGCTCACTCACTTTCATGCACAACCTACAGTTGGCAAAGTGATGATGCTTTTGCTTCTTTGAGCATTTTTCCAGATATTTGATGTTTTCCCCAAGGAAGCACTGAATGCAGCCAAATGGATGAGCCAGCAGGAAACGGGACCATTGCTTTTGGAGTTCTGCTTTCACCTGTTAGAAAAAGAAAACAACCTGACACAAAGTATTGCTTTTTGGTGACTGACACAGGCAAAAGATGGTGGGCTGACAGGAGTGCAGACAGGCTTTTCAGCTGCTTACAGAGAAGTGTAAGAACAAGCAAGCTGCAGTGTCCCAGCCTGACTTGGTGTGAGTACTCTGAGATAAAGTGGACATCAGCCTCCAGGGCCAATTTATACTGGGACTTTCTGATTTACCTGCCAACAAGCAGGCAGTTGGTGAAACAGCTATTGAGGTGTGGCTGGCTGGCTGTCTAAGCAAAGCATATCAAATAGCCCACTTAGGCTATATCTACACTGCGGAGCTATTTTGTGATTACCTCAAAATAAACTACTCAGTTTGCATGGTGCAAATTGTGTAGCTTATTTCAAAGTAAGGGTGCTGTCTAGACACCTCCTTCACAGATTTCAATAGTGTTACGGGTTACTATGACTTAGAGGTGTAAAACTGCATACTTGGGTCAGTCCCCTGACCTAGCCAATCTCTGCTCCATTCATGGGAGCAACAGTGACTCCTGTGTTTTATCCTGAAGCATTTCTGGGAATGGTTTTGTTTTGCAGTGCCTAATACCACTGGGGATTGCTAGAGGACTTTGAAATTGGGAACCAGGTAGTCCTGGGGCCAGGGAATTGATGGCTGTGCAGATCTGTATGAGTTGTACACTCTGGACTGTGGTTTGTAGAATACAGCTAACTCAAACCCTGAATACAATTTTCCTGTGTATCCATGTAAAAAAGGAACAAATTAATACTTGTCACATTGTCACTTGAGTGTTTGACTTTGTTACTTTAATAATGTTCTTTCAAGGTAGATTTTGGATTTATAATTAGAGGTGGTACAGATAGTGATGCCTGATGTTAAGGTTGCCTAACATGTCCTGCTTTCAGTTGCCTGTGCTAAACTAACTTTTTGGGCAGAAGTCTGCTTCAGGCTGAATCATTATAGGAAGTATCAGCATCAGTGGTTAAAGAATGTCTGATGACATTAGGAAAAATGCATTATTTTTCAATGCTAATGGAATATGAATAAGCATTTTCCAAGAGATCCCTTGGTGCTTCCATACTTTGGAGTAGGGACATGAAATTGGAATCTGCCTTTTGCACTTCTGAAAAAAAAAGTCCAATTTTGCCAAGTTATGAGCTTTTGGAAACCCTTAGTTTGCTCATGGTCAGTAGCCTGTTTGGGAATTATGTGAAGATTCTATCTGTACTTGACATCCTCCAGCCCCTGTGTTTCCAATGGATTACATCTTCCCTTTGGTCAAGCAATCATGGTGCATCATGAGAACACCATGGCCACGGTATACCATAGTGGATAATGTCCAGGCAGGAAGCCTGGGCTGTAAAACAGAGAGGGAGACTGAGACACTCAAATTTCACTTCCCATGAGGCACTGTGATTGCTCAGGCAGGAACAATTCAATATGGAAATGAGCCAACATGCCAAAATGTTTAGTTTAGATAAAAAATGTCAAAATAAAATGTTCCAACATTTCTGAATCAAACATTTTTTGAACTTGCTGTTCTGTGAAAAAAAATCAATATTTTGACTTTTCATCTCTGTTTGGAACTAAACAGTTTCAATACAGTATCATTTCCTACAGGATGGAAATTCTGATTTTGCTTCTTAAAGCTCAAACTGAAATTTTTCATGCTTGATCTCTATGTAAGGTTGATTATTTTGAAAGCATGAGCAAAAATTGTTCCGCTATTTCTAAGACTATGTAGTTTTCACAAAAATTAGTCTTGATAACATTAAACATTTTTTCAGCTGTTTTTATGAACTGCTATTGCACCTCCATTCTGTCGAATGGAAAAAACTGAAATGCTTGGTTGTGGAAAAATCTATGATCAGAGCATTGTCTTTCATTGTTCCTGTAAAAATCTTTCCAGTTTTGGACAAACTAATACTGCACTATAAAATTTGTTCAGGATTTGTCCCTTAATTCTTTGAAGATCACACATGTCTCTAGGCTTTACTAAACCTTCTATAGTGCATGGATGCCTTATGCAGATAAATAGAATGCCAAACAGGAGAGTTAAATACATAACTGGCTATTTGTAAGATCACATACCGTGTTATGGGTGCAAATCTCAGTGGTCATTACTGTATTGTTTTAGTGTCATTATGTTTATTGCCTTGAAAAATCTACAGAAACCATCTAGTAATACCTGTCCTGGTGCCTTACCTCTCCATTAACAAAGCAGTAGAAAATTGCTACCAAAAAACCCTACAAGAGAGAGAAAATAAGAAAATTAGATTATGGAGGAGGCACTGATTCCTATAGTCTAATGTGAAATTACTATTAAAATCTTCAGAATACTAATCCCAGGACCATAAATCTTCTTTTTTTTAAATAATTTTCTCATATATAATAGGTTTGTCTCTAGGCAGGGATCTCAGACTCTTGGTCTGGGGCTGGAACATACTCGTGATTGGGCCCAGGAGACTCAGCAACCTGGGGGTATGTCTGAACCTGTCCACTAAACCCTGCCCCTTCCCACCACTGCACTACTCTCCCCACCCATGGCACCCTATCCGCCAGCCTCAGAGATTATTGGCAGGCACACTCAGCGGGTGCACTCCATCACATTCAACTCACAGGCTACGTCTACACTGGCATGATTTTCCGCAAATGCTTTTAACAGAAAACTTTTCCGTTAAAAGCATTTCCGGAAAATCATGCCAGTCTAGACGCAGCCTTTATGTTTTAGTCAGTTTCCTTTCAGAGTCCCACTATCCTCTTCTCTTTCTTCTCCTCCTGTCCAATCTGGCCTCCTTGGCTATGTCTACACTGTCGGGTTCTTGCACCAGAAATATGCAAAGAAGGCTAAGCGTGGAATATCACTGAGCCTTATTTGCATCTCTAATGAACTGCCATTTTTGTGGAAGAGGCTCTTGCGCAAGAAGGAGCATCTACACTGCCCCTTCTTGCTCAAGAAAAACCCTCCTGCGCAATGCCGTTATTCCTGAAAATATTCAGCATAGCAGCATTGCGCAAGAGGGTTTTTCTTGCGCAAGAAGGGGCAGTGTAAACACTCCTTCTGGCGCAAGAGACTCTGCTGCAAAAAGGGCAGGTCATTAGATATGCAAATGAGGTTCAGCGATATTCCACACTTAGCTTCATTTGCATATTTCTGGCGCAAGGACCCGCCAGTGTAGACATAGCCTTCCTGTTTCTAGTCTCTTCTCTGTAAGGCTACGTCTCCACTATGAGCTAGGAGTGTGATTCCCATCTCACATAGTCAAGATCACACTGACCGAGCATGCTAAAATAATAGTGTATCTGTGGCAACAGACAGTGGTGAGCAGTGGCATGGACTAGCCACCCTGACTACATTCCCAAAGGGTCTAGAGGGCAGCTAGTCCATGCGACTACAGGGTTGAGCCTTTCTAATCTGGCACCCTCGGGACCTGACGGGTGCCAAATCAGAGATTTTGTGGACCCCCGGGAGGTCAGTATTGTAGCAAGTGGATCTCTTTTTATTTTTGTTTTGCTGAGGTGAATAAATGGCACAATGCTTGTCACACTGCTAAATAATCACATATGACTGTACTGATACACACTCTCTAAGTTTATGCCTGGCCAAGGCTCACCGTGTTAGTTTTGTTACACAATTTTACTCTGTATCAAATAAGGATAAGTAGATAAAGCATAAAAAGGATAAAATAATATAAAAATTGATAATAATATAGATAAATCAATGCAATAGATCCTCATGATTCGCAAAATCGCTATTAATGATTCCCTGTGTTCATGGAATCTTTCCTATGACCTGGGCAGGTGGGGGCGGGGCAGGAGCTGCAGTGAGTTTGGGAACTTCTGATAGTTCACTGCAGGGCTGGAGAGCCATGGCCCGCACTATTTGCAGATTTTGCTCTTTGCAGTGGTGCTAGGAACATGAATGGTGAGGGTTTTCTTTAATTTACTTCCCTAAAATGAAAGAATTCTGCTTCCAAAGTGATATTCTAATAACTGCTCACTCGAATTACAGTACAATGGCAGCATTACCAATACTTCTGCTGCCTTCTGGTCTCTTAGAAGACATTTAGGGGTAAATTAGAGCTAAGTAACAGAACAGAACACTAAGATTACGTCTACATTGCAGCACTTTTTCAAGATACCAGACTAGAGCGTTTTTTTTTGTTGAACAAATTTTAAAAAAGCGCCAGGCTGCCAAAATGCAGTAGCAACCCCTTTAATTGCTGAGCCGCTCCCCTACCACTGCCCCCACTCCCGCCACGTGTCCAACGGTATCTTCTCAATTTCTTTACCAGACAGAAGGTGCAAATACCAGACTTTCCGGTTCAGTATCAGAAACCTCGCAACCCTAGGCAGAGGGCTTGTGCCTCAGCTGGTATCACTCACTGGAGCTCCCTGAAGTCAGCACAGCTATGCTAACATTCCCAGTTGAGGGTCTGACTCAGTAAGGAGCTGGAATTTATTGCCTGCTGTGTCTCCTGATCACATCACGTTTGATGCTTTTCTGTTAATTTCTCACCTTTAATGTTGCTATATCAATTATTTTTCTCAGTGAATCATACATTTGTGAGGGTTAGACTAGCTTACCCTTGTGGGGTCTGTCTATCTAGAATCTTTCTATGGCCATGAGTTTCAGGGCTGTCATCTCTTTAATAGTAACATTACATGGGGAGATGAAGTTTGAAGTTTAACAGGGATGCTTGTCGGTTTCTGATAAGCCTATGGGAAAGCAGAGATTTAAATGTGTTGTTGCAGTATTGTTCACTTTTGATGTAAATAACAGACCATGACTATTGTTTTTTCTTGTGGGTAACAATCATGTTATACAATACTAAGCAGAGATGATTGGAGCTCCCTACTCTAAAGCAGAGATGCTGCTAATACTGTCACAGCTATAGCAGAGCTGAGTTCTAGCATTTCATTTTGTGCTCCCTCCAATTGCCTGAGTTAAAACTTGCATCTCACATCCCAGAGGTAATTGTTTTTCTTTATCAAAACAATTTAGTTATGTTTAAAATTACTTAGGATTTTTAGAGACTAAGCAAATGGAATTGGTTCTAGTGTGTATGCTATTCGCTAATCCTTCTACAAAGTAATGTTTTCATTAGAAATAAAAACAAGAGACAGAGCAACCACAGTAAATACAGATTAAGTCTTTTAGTTATTTTGGGGAAAACTGTTTTATTTTTAAAAATTGAAATGTCTGCTATGTTGCAGAAGCCAGCAAATTTCCCTAGATGAAAATCTTTCTATTACTCCCTTCTCTTTGTACTCTTGCTATGTAAAATAATGTAAGGTTGTTTAAACATAATAGGTGTGATGAGTTCCTCCCTGTGTCAGAGAAAGGCATCTATTTGCCTGCAGGGAGGCATTTAGGTCTATCTGAGAGTCTGAGCAGAAAAACCTGTGTGTTTGCAAGAAGCCTGGGGAGGGGAGGAGGAGCTTCCTCCTACTTTTAACACAGTGGTTAAGTAGACACTCACTGGGGTGGTAGGAGCTCCTGTTTCAAGTCTGCCCTTCCCCCGAAGGAGTAAAGGGATGTGAAGAGGTCTGTACTACCTCTGAGATGTGTGCGCCAGTCTCTGGGCTATAGGCTATTCTGGTGCGGGGGATGCTCCCTCAGTCTCTCCTGTTGAGTCATTCCTGTAGTTGCTCTCCTTTCTCTGGCCCAGAGATTCCTTCATTATGAATTCACAACCCTGATAATAACTCCATAACCTGGTGGGTGAAGCACTACCCTGGGGCCCAGGAGCCACACCCCTTTTTCAATGACTCCTCAATTAGTTATCTAAAGTGTTAGGCAGTGGTTCCCAAACTTTTTGATTTTTGAGAAACCCTCACGCCCCCCCTCCAAAATAGCAGCAAAACTTGAGTCAAAAAAAGTTGCCCTTTTAAGGCGGCCATTTTGAAGTCTGCCCAGGGCACTCCATCCTCTCCTCGCCCCAGCCAGTCTGAGCTGCACGTCTCCAGCGGACACCTGGGCCAGGAAAAACCGAAATGCCCGACGTTTCACCTGGTCTTCCCGGGCTTGTGTCCCGGCCAAACCGGGCTCTTTCTGGGGGCAATGATGGGGGGGCGGGTCATGCTCCTCGGCGTTTCCTTGCCCCCCTGCTAAGGGCTGCAGCGGGAGCAAGCAAGGGAGCTCTGCCCCCAGGCTCTGACTCTGGGGCGTACGCCTCTGGCAGGCCCTGCCCTTCCCTCCCAGCGCCTCCTGCCCACTGCAGATCAGCCGGTCTGTGTGGGTGGGGCAGTGCTCAGGGGAGAGGGTGGAATGGGGCAGGAAGATGCAGGGTGGTGGTGGAACAGGGGCAAGGACGTTGGGAGAAGGGTCTGGGGCAAAGTGGGGGTCAAGAACCCCCAGAAAAATGAGAAGCTCATCGCCTGTGCAGCCCACAGAATCCTAGAACCTCAGGAGGTCATCAAGTCCAGCCCCCTGCCCTAGGCAGGACCAATCTCACTAAATCAACCCAGCCAGGGCTTTGTCAAGCTGAGATTTAAACAGCTCTAGGGATGGAGACCCTACCACTTCCCTAGGTAACCCATTCCAGTGCTTCACCACTCTCCTAGGGAAATAGTTTTTTCTAATATCCAACTTGGACCTCTCCCACCACAACTTGAGACCATTGCTCCTTGTTCTGCCATTTGTCACTACTGAGAACAGCCTCTCTCCATCCTCTTTGGAACCTCCCTTCAGGAAGTTGACGGCTGCTATCAAATCCCCCCTCACTCTTTGCTTCTGCAGACTAAACAGACCCAACTCCTTCAGCCTCTCCTCATAGGTCATATGCTCCAGCCCCCTAATTATTTTGGTTGTCCTCCGCTGAACTCTCTCCAATATGTCCACATCCTTTTTGTAGTGGGGGCCCCAGAACTGGACACAGTACTCCAGATGTGGCCTCACCAGAGCTGAATAAAGGGGAACAATCACATTTCTGGATCTCCTCTTAATGCAACCTCATATGTCATTAGCCCTCTTGGCTACAAGGGCACACTGTTGACTCATATCCAGCTTCTCATCCACTGTAATCCCCAGGTCCTTTTCTGCAGAACTACTACTTAGCTGGTTGGTCCCCAGCCTGTAACAATGCTTGGGATTCTTCCGTCCCAAGTGCAGGACTCTGCACTTGTCCTTGTTGAACCTCATCAGATTTCTTGTTGCCCAATCCTCCAGTTTGTCTAAGTCACTCTGGACCCTATCTAGCTAGTTCTAGCAGCCATGTCAGTTTGTGTTGGACTTGACTAGGGATGGAGGAATGGACAATTCAGACAGATACAGTCGCTACAAACTGGCTCTGTTCCAGTGTGCTGAATGAACCCGAATGTTCCAGAGCTTAGAACCAGCAGATCTGGCATTATGATGATCTGCTCTGTACATTGCCAGCCTAAAGATAGCACAAGTAGTGTGCTCAAAAATTCATGTTTACTGGAGATAGAGGGACAAGTGGGACACACCGTCCCTTGTGCTGTGAGCCACAACACAGGGCTCCGAGGGGGGCGGACATTTCCCCATGATTATATCACAATGCCATGTGCATTGCTGCCCTTTTCAGCCATATGATTGAAAGGAAGCCTGATCTGTTTGGAAGAAGAGAGGTGTGTTTCTCATTAGGGACTGTGGTTTCTTAAATTTGGGGATTTTGAGTAACAAGATCTACTGGCTGGAAGCTGAAGGGCAGGTGAAATGAAAATTGTTTAAAACCTTAGAAGGAAAGAAAGAGGAATTGCGGACAAAAGGCTGAGGGCAGTCTTGCTGTTCTCTAGTTAATCTTTTCTACCATTTTCAAAGTTTTCTCTTTTCTTCCCTTCTTGTGCGGGCATGAGAGTCCCACACAGTGAGCTTTACACTGAGTGTTGACAAACTGTCACACACAGATGTGAGGATTCTAGATGTGCTGCCTGTGGTGCTATGGAAATTGATCCCCTTACCAGTAAAATGCCCTTTGTGGCTGGTTTTGGTAAAATAAATTGAGGCTGGGAAGTCATAGTTATTGTTCTCTAGCTAACAGAACTAAGTCCGGATTAATTTTAAACTGCCGCGTGTAGCCGCGGGCAGTTCGTTCGGACTAAGGGGGATTTAAAAATGGCGGCCGGACGGGAACATGCAATTAAAGCCTGAGTTATTTAAAGCCCGGGCTTCGTTTGCAACCCCGGTTCCCTGATTTGCCTCCCTAGCTCGAATTAACGAGCTAGTGTAGACATACCCCTTGAAGGGTCCGATTTTCAGAAGGCAGCTGCTCAACGCTAATGAAAAGCAGGTTCTGTTAAGGTAGCTCAGGTTGGGCATACCCTCCACCCCTGGATGACTGGTTGTTTTAGAAAATTCTCTCTAGAGAATATTTATGGGAATCCTCCTGCTTTGCAATCACCATCTAACGGGCTCTCCCACCAATAGAAATTCCAGGCTCCAGGGCAGAACAGTCAATAGGCTCCCATGCATGCACAAGTCATGCCTGTCTCCCTGATATTTGGGAGGTTCTGCACCTGTGCAGGCTGGTGTCTTGCAATCTGCCCTGGGCATCCTCTTCTGGCATGGCCAAGGTATCCACATGTCTGTCCCATATGGTTGCCAACTTGGGCAAATCCAAAGTCCTTTGCCCTGCCCCCTTCTCTGCTCCTTCCCTGAGGCCATGCCCCTGTACCACTCCTCCTCTGAGGCCCCGCCTCCTGCTAACTCCATTGCTCTGTTGCTCATTTTCCTCACTCACTTTTACAGGCTGGGATGGGGATTAGGGTGCAGTGGGTGCAAGTGCTGGGCAGAAGTTTGAGTAAGGGAGGGAGTGTGGAATGTGGTCTCTGGAAGGGAGTTTGAGTGCAGGCTCCAGGATGATGTCTGTGGGGTGCAGGCTCTGGGCTGGGGCTGGGATTTGGGGTTCAGGAAGAGGACAGGGGTGGTGCTTACCTCGGGAGGCTCCCATAAATGACTGGCACAAGCTCTTTTGTACTAAGGCTAGGTGTCTCGATGCACTGCTGTCTGCAAGTACAGCCCCCAGTGCTCCAAAGGGAGTCATGAAGTTGGTGCTTGTGTGAGGACAGTATGCGGAGACCTCATGGCCCTCCTCCTACCAGGGACATGCTGGCCACTTCCAAGAGTGGCACAGAGTGAGGATGGGCAGAAACAGTGCTTGGTCCTGCCATGAGGGCAGTGGATTGGACTTGATGACCTCTCAAGGTCCCTTTCAGTTCTACTATTCTATGATTTTATGAACCCTGCCTAAGCCCTTATACACTGGCCTGCCCTTTTCAATTGCCACTGGCTGAGAAGGAACATATGCAGGTGAGAAGGTCAATTTTCCCATTTTAGTCTGTTCAAGAAACTGCCAATTTGAAATTGTTTAGGTGAACTTCTTGATCCTGCAATGTAACACTATCACATTAAGCCAATATGATGAATGATAATCTATATATCGTTGTAGAGTATGTCTGTGTGACTGTGAGTCTGTTTGTTCAAGAACTCCTCTGAAATGGTAAGAGGTAGGGCCACCAAATTTAGTATGTAGCTTCCTCTTCTCCTAATTTAAAGTAAAGTCAATGTTTGATTGTGCCAGGACAACCAAAAGCCCCTGGAATGGGACTGTTTCCATAACATGCAAAGGGAGGGGCTGCTGTTCGGAGGAACACAATATGAGAGTGGCCACCAGGGATAGCAAGCCCACAGGGAAGAGCTATTCTGCAGAGTGGCTACTGGAGGAGGAGAGAACAGCCCTCTGGTGGCTGGTCAGGGGAGGGAGAGAGGAGGGAAAAGGCCCCTGGCGGCTGGTTGGGGGAGGAGGGAACAAGCTCCCCCATGGCCTGAGGGGAGGGAAGGAACGGCTTGGTTCTAATACGACAATGGGATATGTCGGGAATTCGATTGTTTCTCATAAAACAGAAAGGAAGGAGTCTGCTAGTAGGCACAGTTATACTTTGCAATGATCCTGGGGGGATCAAGGAGCCAGAGATGTGGAGCCGGCCAGCTATAACCACACTGAGACAGCAGGGGACAGGGTGGAGAAAGGCACAGCTATGTTCTGTATATTTCAGAGAGTTTGTCTGTTTGTGTGTCCATCTGTTCCCCAGCTGGAGGACATGCACACCTCCCTCAGCTGTGCCCACTGCAACTGCAGTAGCCATAGAGAGGCATTTCTTACCTGGCCTCAAGCTACTGCAGTGATAGAGGGCTGGGGTTGTCCTCTCTCCCTGGGGCAGCCTGCATACCAAACCCCTCATGCCCAACCCCACCCTAGAACATGATTTAAATGAAGAAAAAGAAACTTACTTCAGTTAAGGATCTGAACAACACTGGGTAAATTCTCTAGTAATAAATAAATCCAGGATATCTAGTTTATATGGGAACACTTTCTCTTTAAGGAAATATACTGTAACAGAGTAAAATGTCTCAGAGGGATAGCTATGTTAGTCTGTAACTTTAAGAACAATGAGCAGTCCTGGGGCATCTTAGAGACTAACAAATATATTCTATCAAAAGTGTATGTGGGTAAAAGTTCTTACAGAGTACTTACTTGAAAGGAGCTCATAATTAATTGGATGAAGACTCTTATACGTCTTGAAAATCCTTCAACTTGTTCATCAGGTAAGAAGGTAAAGACAAACTCCTGGATCCCGAGTAAAGGGATTAACACCAGCGTAGATCTCGCCAATCTTAAAAATAAAGAGTTTGAATAGTATGTTTCTCAACATTCTCAATGTGAAGCTGAACATCCACCTATGGAGAAATAAGGAGAGTAGCAGGTCCCTGAGGCTTCCAGTCTGGGACTTATACATGAACTTCACTAATGATCTGGAGCACAGAGCAGCTAGTGCCGAAGTCTGAGGGATTAGATGTACAATAAAAGACACCAGGAAAAAGAAAGCAAAGGCCGATGAGACAGAGGTGAGATTAGAGTCAGGGAAGTGACAAATACCAAGTAGAAGAATATTTGCTGAAAAATAATGTGAAGAGGAGGGACTGGGAGGTGGGGTGTAGTGAGACATTGGGGATAGCAAACTGGCTACAGGGGCCAGCATTAGCAAACTCTAACAGTTAGACAGTTAAGTGCACATAAATATGTGGCCTCTTTCTCGAGGTGCTGAGCACTCACACTTACCATTCACTCCATTTAGCAACTCAGAGAATCAGACCACTTTCATTTAGGTGCATATGGCATGGCACCTGCCTAGCTCCTTTAGTACCTATGTTTGAAAATGTGACCAATAACTTGTTTTAGAAGACAGGGGTACTCTAGTGAGTCAGACTCTCCATCCTGCCAGGAATTCACCACACAAAGCTCTCTGGGACATCTGTACAGAGGGGTCGGACAAGGGAGGCACAAACACCTCCTTTTTAGGTTGTTAGCTCTGTATAGTGAGGACTTTTATTTTCTGTATGTTTGTACAGTGCCCAGCACAATGAGTCCTAATCATTGTTGGCAGTTATGTACTCAGACAGGATAAATGTTAAAGTAATGTTCCTTCTCCCCCCACACACACATACTATGTAAAAGAAAACTCCAGTAAAACTCCAGTTGTCTGGCATCCAGTGGTCCGGGACTCCTGATGGTCCGGCACCATCTGGAACCCGGAAGTGTTCCGGGCAGCCGGACAATTGGAGCAGCTCTGCCCCCAGCTTCCCCAAGTCAGCTGCTGCTGAAACTGACCAGCGGCTGACTGTGGAAGCCAGGGGCAGAGCAGCTGGGGTGCTGCCGGATTGGTCCTGCAGCGCCGACCTCTCCATGCTGCGCAGTTCACTGCCCCCATCATAGCCCCCCTTCCAGTACTCTGGCATATCTGATAATCTGGCACCCCCTGGGTCCTAAAGGTGCCAGATTATCAGAAGTTTACTGTATTTAAGGTTGAAAAGTTAAGCACTCGAAATTAGCAAAGCCAGAAGTCCGATAATAATGTTCCTCCTTTTTCATATGCATTATTATACGGTCTTTACATGATAACATACTCTGCTTTTTCCCTGTGCACTGCATAGGAAAGAAGATCCGTTGGAAAAAACATGATCATATAACTAATGATATTGTTATGCACAAGGAGCCAAACTTAAGATTGCACAGTCACCTTTATTTCTGGTATTTCCTTATTTTTGGACATTTGACATTGCAATCTTAATGTTATATTAACTTAATTAGTTTTGATATAATTGTCTGGGTTTTTGTGAAAGCAAACTGAAAAAACTGATGTTATGTTAGGTGGACACATACTGACCCCCCTGGATGGGTCTCAGCAGTGTTGAAGCCTTTAGATCGACAGTACAGACTTAGTCCAGGACTACACTAAAGGGGAAGATTGAATCAAGATACACAATTCTATCTAAATTATCCCAGCCAAGGGCTTTGTCAAGGTGGGCCTTAAAAACCTCTAAGAATGGAGATTCCACCATCTCCCTAGGCAAAGTATTCCAGTGCTTCGCCACTCTCCTAATGAAATAGTTTTTTCTAACATCCAGCCTAGACCTCCACAAATGCAACTTGAGACCATTGCGCTTTCTATCAGATGTCTCATTGGGAACAACATCTAGTTGAATTTTCACCTGGATTATTGCATGTTTTCAAAACCATGGGAACATGTGATAAAGTCTGGTGATAGCAGCAGCTCCAATCTCAAGCTCCATTCTCATAGGAACTATTTTGATCAATGACGTAATCCAGATGCCAACTCTGACAGCAGCTTCTAAGAACAGGTGTAGGGTTTGCTCTGGTCTTTCCTCCATTTTGAATCCCAGACTTTCAGTCTTTCTTGGGGTCATTCTTCTTAGGTGTCGTCTTGGATATACCAATACTGTGTTCCTGGTTGCTAAATTGTGTGAGAAGCTGGCACAATGTGTCCTTTCTTCTGGCACTTTCTGAAAATAACCTGTTGTGGCCTGTTATCCTTCTGGAAGTGCATAGTTTGTGCCCAATGGCCCCATAGAAATTCCTTATGTTTTCTTGGTCTTCCGAATCATCAGTACAGGAGCTGAGCTTCTTCATTCACACTAAATTACAAATCCTTTTCGGTGGTCTCCACTGCAACCACTGATACATCAATAACTTCCTCCCAATCTGGTCATTGCATAATCCAGATATAAATTGGTCACACTTGGCATCACTTAATGGTTGTCTCAATTCGCAATGCTGGAGATGCGCGATCCCTTCCAGCTGTTTCCATTTAAAGGGCTCTCACATTCCCTGCATCTGCTAGGTAACACGTTGCCTGACAGGTGCAGGGAAAGCACCACCCCTTTAAATAGAAGCACTTAAAAGGGCTCGCAGCTCCTGGCACCTGTAGCATGTTGCTAGGGAGCCAGAGAATATGAGCCCTTTCAACTGCTTCTATTTAAAGGGTTCGCCTGCTGGGTGGCTGTATTGCCTGGCTGCCACCCAGCAGGCACAAGCCCTTTAAACAGAAGCAATTGAAAGAGCTCACAGCTCGGCCACCCTGGCCCGTTGCCTGGGAGCTGCCTGGAAATGTGAGCCCTTTCAACTCCTTCTGTTCAAAGAACTTGTACCTCCTGGGCAGCTGCCAGACAACAGATTAGCAAGGGGGGCCAGGAGCTGTGAGCCCTGTTATATGAAATCTAAGCCTCCACCCCAGACAACTCTGGGAGAAGGCTATCCCTTGGCACCCTCCCCTTTGCTCCCTTCCATTGGCCAGATGTCAGGGGGCAGGGACCCCAGGCCAAGGAAAGCTCCCAGCAGAGTAGCTCTCAACTCTGCCCTTTCCACCCGTGGCCCCGCTCCTTCCTGGTTGGCCTGCTGCCACTTTCAAAATTTGTGAAGTGGCCCCTCTTCAAAAATTATTGTCCACCCCTGTGTCACAACATCCATGAGCTGCAGTTGTCACACTCGCCAAGTTTGCACACAAAAAGTGCCGTTTTCTTGTTCTCCTTTCGGGCTTCATGCCTTTTCCATGGGAAAATCCTTTTTTGTTGCTGAACTATCGCAACTGGCCATGTGCTTTCACATTCCTTTGGCTATACTTGCAATCTCACTGGCTATATACCCCCAGTCCCGGCCTGATAGCACAAGTGCAACAAGTCAGGATACATCACTGCTTTTCCTTTGCACAACCCTATTCCAAAGTTTTATCTGTAACCCTTCTGCCAGCTAGTGCTAGCAGGAGCCAGGACCAGGTTCAGTATCAAGAACTATGTCTACACTGGCGGGTTCTTGCACAAGAACACGTCCACACTGTCATGTGCTTTTGCACAAGAGCATCCATGGCAGTGTGGACCCTCTCTTGAGAAAGAAAGCTCTGATGGTCATACTGGGCATCACTTAATAGTGAAGCTTTAAATGTCTGTGATCCAATCGGGGAGCAGAAGTAATCTCCTGCACTTTAGTAATTTCCTGCACACAACACAGATGACAATGAATTACTGAAGAGAATAGCTTGGGAACAACTTGTAGTTTGAAAACTATTAATCCAAAATATTTGGGGCTGGATTCTTCCTGCCTTATTACTGAAGCTCTAGAAAGAGCTCTACTGACTTTAGTTAGGCTATTTATAAAGTACTACTTAAATGAGTAAAGGAAACAGGATGACTACGTCTACATTGGCAAGATTTTGTGCAAATACTTTTAACACAAGAGTTTTTGCGTTAAAGTATTTGCATAAGAGAGCGTCTACACTGGCATGTGCATTTGCGCATGATATGTGCTTTTGCGCAAAAACATCCCTGCCAGTGTAGATGCTTTCTTGCGCAAGAAAACTCCGATGGCCATTTTAACCATAGGGCCTTCTTGCGCAAGAAATTCATGTCACCTGTCTACACTGGCCTCTTGCGCAAGAACAGTTGTGCAAGAGGGGTTTTTTTCCTGAGCGGGAGCATCATAGTTCTTGCGCAAGAAGCACTGATTTCACACATTAGAACTTCAGTGTTCTTGTGCAAGAACTCCCCGCCAGTGTAGACAGGCAGCATTTAGACACAGCTGATATGTCCTTAATGAATCCTAATCCTCTAATAACGAAGCACCATAAAGAATCATAAAGAATTACAAGTCTGGTTTATGAACAGTGCACTACTCAGAACAAAGGTCTGAACTCATTACACATACAAATGGCTATGTCTAGACTGGCATGATTTTCCGCAAATGGTTTTAATGGAAAAGTTTTTCTGTTAAAAGCATTTGCGGAACAGAGCGTCTAGATTGGCATGGACACTTTTCCGCAAAAGCACTTTTTGTGGAAAAGCGTCCATGCCAATCTAGATGCGCTTTTGCGCAAAAAAGCCCCGATCGCCATTTTGCGCAAAACAAATCTGAGCTGTCTACACTGGCCCTTTTGCGCAAAAGGACTTTTGCCCGAACGGGAGCAACATAATATTTCCGCCAGAAGCACTGATTTCTTACATGAGATCGTCAGTGTTCTTGCGGAAATTCAAGCGGCCAGTGTAGACAGCTGGCAAGTTTTTCCACAAAAGCAACTACTTTTGTGGAAAAACCTGCCAGTCTAGACACAGCCTATGAGGGGAATCGTTTCTATTCTGTTAAATACAACTAAGTCTTTTCTTTTGCTTATTGAGTTCTTCCTTTCTTCCCAGGCTTTTTCTGGGCTGGATGCGAGGAATTATTTTTATTATTTATCATAAGAAGGGCCATACTGGGTCAGACCAAAGGTCCATCTAGCCCAGTAACCAAGCAATTCCAGGTACCCAAGAGGGAATGAACAGAACAGGCAATCACTAAGTGATCCCTCCTCTATGACTCATTCCTCACTTCTAACAAAGACGGACTAGGGACACCATCCCTAACCTTCCTGTCTAATGGCCATTGATAGATCTATCCTCTCTGAATGTGACTAGTTCCTTTCTGAACCCTGTTATAATCTTGCTCTTCACAGCATCCTTTGGCAAACAGTACCATAGGTTGACTGCGAATTGTGTAAAGAAATATTTCCTTTTATTTTTTTTAAACCTACTGCCTGTTAATATAATTTGATGACCCCTATTTCCTGTATTATTTGGAGTAACTTGCACTTCTTTAGCTACTTTCTCCACAACAGTCATGGTTTTATAGACCTCTGTCACATCTCCAGTTAGTCATCTCTTTTCCAAGCTGGAAAGTCCCAATCTTATTAATGTCTCCTCATATGGAAGATTTTCCATACCCCTAATCATTTCCATTGTCCTTTTCTATAACTTTTCTATATACTGCTTCCCTCTTGCGCAAAACCTATACAAATGTAGCATTGAATAGCATATTGCTGCACTTCATTTGCATAATTAGGGGCCATTTTTGCACATCTACACAGCTCTGTTTTGTGCAAAAACTCCCTCTTGCGAAAGAGCCGTTTTTCCTCATATTTTAGGAAATGAATGAGTAATGTTAGTTTGAACCAAGGGGTTTGGTTCGAACTAACGCGTCCCGGCACTCACTTTCACTTTCGGAACCGCTGTTGATTGAAGTAATATGCTGGCGAGATTATACTAATGAAGCACAAGATATTTCAATCCCCACTTCACTAGCAATTTCAGTCGCCTACATTTGCATCCCTAGTTCGAACTAGGGTACAAGTGTAGATGTACCCTTACAGACAACCTCCTAACCTCAAACAAGTTCTTTCCAGTAACCACACAAAACACCTCCATCTTAATCATCCAGGAACCTACCCCTGCAATCAGCCCCAATGCCAACTCTGCCCACACATCTACACAAGCAATTTCATCACTGGACCCAACCACATCAGACATCAAATCAGAGCCTTATTTAACTGCATATCCACTAATGTGATCTATGCCATCAAATACCAGCAATGCCCCACTGTCATGCATATTGACCAAGCTGGACAGTCTCAACCCGAAAAAATTAATGGACACAAATCAGATATCTGAAAAGACAACACACAAAACCTGTTGAAGAACACTTTAATCTTCCTGGACACTCATTAATGGATCTTTTGTTTCAGTCCAATTCTACAAGCCAAATACACAGAGAAGGGTTGGAACTTAACTTCATTCACAAGTTTCATTCTTATGCAAATGGTATGAATCAGGATATTGGATGGCTCATACATTATCTTCCACATCTTAATGACTTAGCCAACCAACCAAACAATGAAGGTGCTAATTGTTCTTGATGTCTGTGTGGAATCTGGTGTTGCTCATCTTCCTTTCCAAGTGCAAACTAATGGTTCTTATCAGACTCTTGTAATTATTTAGTCTTTAAGGTGCTACTAGACTATTTGTTGTTTTTTAAGTTTTTCCTGTTACAGACTAACTTGGCTACCCCTCTGGTGCTTCTTTTATAATTTTAGATAACAAGGTACTATTTTTCTCTTCCTCTCCTAAGACATTTGTGTTACATGATCAGAATGGCTGCCATATCTTAACACTTTTGTGGATGAATATAATTTTATATCCTGCAAAGCACTTTAGGAACTTTTGGAAAGAAAGACACAATGGAAATACAAAAGACTAGACTACTTTGATGTTTATCACATACCTGTATTTGTAATCATGAAAGTTCATTTGCTGGGCTTTGAGTTTGGAAATTAACAACTTTAGAATTTTTAGGAAGATGCAGAAATTAACCTTAAAAGAAAAAAATATATATATATCGATTAGTTACAGCAAATGTCACTATACAGTAATATCAGATACACAGGCATATATAACAGTAGCAGATTTACCCAGCATTGCTCAAGTCCTTAACTTAATTAAGTTTTTTGGGGGATGGAGGGGTGGGGAGGAAGGGGAATAAAAGGAAAATGTAAATGACTTATTTAAATGATTGTATTTTTCAAAAATACAATGTTATTTTTATTAAATTTTATTTCAGATTTCTTAAAGGGATTTGTAAAATTTTTCCATTTAATTTTTTTTAGCAATTTTTAAAAAATGGGAATTACATCAAGATTTTCTTCTAGTTTTTAAATCTTAAGCATTGATTTAGCTGTGCCAAAACAGAATACTACTCCAAATTTCTCAGTTTTATCTCTATTTCTGTAAGGTTTGTTGAGAAGCAGTCCTAGTCCAGATTCATCCTGTTTTTCTGGCTCATTTTGTTTCAGTCTCTTTCAATATTCACTTATTATGTCAATTGTGAAGACTGCTCTTGTTTTGGTGGTTCTGTCTGTTTTCAGTTTGGTTTCATGAGACACAATCCCTGTGCAACCTTCATTCTGCTCCCTTCTGTATCTGCATTATGAGACAGTCTTTAAATATATGATCACATTTTACTTTTTCTGCATGACCCCTGTCTCATCCAGTGAATGGGCAGTTATTCAATATTTCCTTTTAGCATCATCTAGCAATGTGTGGTCCCAGGCCTCATTTAGAACACACCATACAAATCCTGAATTCAGTACAAATGTATTGATAACTTCAGGGAGTTTTTACTGATTAGTCATCATCATACTGTCTGAGTGCTTCACAAACATTAATGAATTTATCGTCACATCACCCCTTTGAAATGAGTAGGTGGTTTTATCCCAATTTCACTTGTGGGAAACTGAGGAACAGAGGGATTAATACCAAAATTGTCAGCTCTCCACTAATATTGGGTGCCTTACTTGAGAGAGACAAATCTGAGTTATTAGAGTCCTTAGCATTATATAGTAAGTTGTATGTTTAAAGCACAGCTCCCACTGATTTCAACTGCTGTTGAGAAGATCCAGCACTTGGGCAAATCTGTCCATAGTTCTCAGTGAACCCAGAAAAAGAAACAGTCAGTAAGTGGCTAGTTGTGAAAATGTTGCTTTAAAAAAACTTACTAGCACCACATAGGAACTCTGTGGTAAAGGCAGGAGTGGAATACAATTCTCCAGGGTGGCATTCAACTGCTTTAATCAGCAAACCATTCTGTCTCTTCCTGCAAATGTCTACTTCATTCACCACCCAACTTCCAACTTTTGCAACGGGTGAGACAGGAGTCCTATGTACAACAGCTTCTGTCCCTGCATTGCTCTGATCCATCCCCATACCAGAGCTATCCTGTTCACTGAATGAGACAGGGCTCCCAGGAAAACTTGTGTGATCATGTAATTAAAGATAGCACGGAACAACCCTACTTCTAGAATTTTCTAGCTTTATGTACTTGAGTTTGTAACCATAATGTTTCTTTACCACAGTTTTATGTGTGTTTTTAAAAAAAACAAATTGAAGAGACAAAAATTCCATGATGTGGAGCAATATTGACATACACATGATTCAGCAGCAGTAGGGTTCGTTAAAAAAACTTTTTTGACTGGACATTTTTTAACAATTTTTGTTTTGCAAAAAGTCCTTTCCACAGAAATTATAAATGTTTCATCAGCAAAGTCCTCAGAAATTTTAAACAAAAAGAGCAAAAATGTTTTGTTGGAAGTTCCCTCATGAACAAATCCCCTTCCTATCTGACTAAACAGCAAGTTTGGAATGTTTGGATCCACTTTCTGAGCACTGCCACTTGAGCTAACAGCATAGCTCATATTTGTAGCAGCAGGTTATCACCCTTCGTGTGGACCAGCCACTACATGGTGAGGAAACATTATGATTTGTCAGTGGGTTTCACAGCTGTTTGTTGATATCAGAGGGATCTAGACACACAAGACATCTGGCTTCAGTTCCAGGATTTGGATGGGAGTAGATCTTTCTGTCCTGGAACTCTCAATGTATTCTTACCCCTCTGTGTCATTATCCATCCCGCATCCCTGCTCTTGGCTCCCTCCCTTTGTTTCTATCCACATCTCCCAACTTGGCTCCTGCTGCCCTCCCCCAGGTTTCATCCATCCCAAGTCTGTCTCCATCTGTTATCCACCTTTATCCCTGGCTCCTGTCCCTCTTCCTTCTTCCCTTCTATCCAGCCTATCTACCCTTCCCACCTACCTTATCCCACTTCCTCATTCCTCACTCCTCTAGAATCCAGTCAGGCTGACTCCTCTCCCTTCTCCATTTCTTTGTGTCCTAAGCCCTGGACAAGGGGGGCATTGACAATACAGGATTGATTCACAAATACCAAGGCCACAAGAGATATGATGATAATCTAATTTGGCCCCCCGCATAACACAAGTCATAGAAATTCCTCCTAATGATTCCAAAAGCAGATCTTTTAGAAACACATCCAAACCTGACATGTACATTGTCTTTGATGTAGAATCCTCCATGACCCCTTGATACATTGTTCCACTAGTTAATTATTCTAACCATTACAATTTAAGCCTTGTTTCCAGTCTGAATTTCTCTAACTTCAGCTTTCAGCTATTGGATCGTGGTAACTCTTTCTCTGGCAGATTGAAGAGCCTGTTATTGCCTATTTGTTCCCCATATAGAAGTGACTTAATTATAGACTAATCAAGTCACAACTTAATGTTCTCTTTGTCAAGATAAATAAGTTGAGCTCCTTGAGTTTATAACAGGGGTGGGCAATAATTGTTTTGCTGGGGGCCACTTTGGAAATTTTTGAAGTGGCCCCAGGGTGCACAGGAAGGGGTGGGACATCAAGTGGAAAAGGCGGGGTATCAAGTGGAAGGGGTGGGGTCAAGATACATCTGGGTTCCCCACTTCTAGACAGTGATTGGTCTGGGGGGGAGGGAGTGCCTTTGCCCTCCTCCCCACGCTCCCTCTAGGTGCCCATGCCCCTGGTGGGGGAGGAGACTTCCCATGCTCCACTATCCCTAGGCCAAATATGCAATAAAGCCTCTCTGCTTTTTTAAAAGATGTTTGTGTTTATATATCCCATGATCACATTGGCCCTTTTTTTGGCCACAAAGTCACGTTGGGAGCTTATGTTCAGTTGAATAATCCACAATAATCCTCCAAACTTTAGAATCATGGAATCCTTGGGCGGGAAGAGACCTCAGGAGGTCATTGAGTCCAGCCGCCTGCCCAAGGCAGGACCAATCCCAACTAAATCATCCCAGCCAGGGCTTTGTCAAGCTGGGACTTTAAAACCTCTAGAGATGGAGATTCCACCACTTGCCTAGGGAACCCATCCCAGTGCTTCACCACCCTCCTAGTGAAATAGTTTTTCCTAATATCCAACCTAGACCTCCCCCACTGTAACTTGAGGCCATTGCTCCTTGTTCTGTCATCCGTCACCACTGAGAACAGCCTCTCTCCATCCTCTTTGGAACCTCCCTTCAGGGAGTTGAAGGCTGCTATCAAATCCCCCCTCACTCTTCTCTTCTGCAGACCAAATAAGCACAGATCCCTCAGCCTCTTCTCATAGATCATGTGTTCCAGTCCCCTAATCATTTTGATTGCCCTCTGCTGGACCCTCTCCAACACATCCACATTCTTTCTGTAGTGGAGACCCCAGAATTGGACAGAATACTGCAGATGTGGCTTCAACAGTGCTGAATAAAGGGGAATAACCACATCTCTGTATCTGCTGGCAATGCTCTTCCTAAGGCACTCTAATATGCCATTAGCCTTCTTGGCTAGAAGGGCACACTGTTGATTCATATCCAGCTTCTCATCCACTATAATCCCCAGGTCCTTTCTGCTGAACTGCTACTTAGTTAGTCGGTCCTCAGCCAGTAACAATGCTTGGGATTCTTCTGGCCCAAGTGCAGGACTCTGCACTTGTCTTTGTTAAACCTCATCAGATTTCTTTTGGCCCAATCCTCTAATTTGTCTAGGTCACCCTGGACCCTATTCCTGCCCTCCAACCTATCTACCTTTCCCCCTAGCTTAGTGTCATCTTCAAACTTACTGAGAAAGCAATCCATCCCCTCATCCAGGTCATTAATAAAGCTGTTGAGCAAAACCAGCCCTAGAACTTATCCTTAGGGCACTCCACTTGAAACCAATCGCCGACCAGACATCCTGTTGACTGCCTGTTGGGCCCGACAATCTAGCCAGCTTTCTATCCACGAGGTGTAACAGTTAATTCGAACTAAGGACTTAGTTCAAATTAACGTTTAACTGCCGCGTGTAGCCGCGGGCAGTTAGTTCGGACTAGGGGGATTTAAAAATGGCGCCTGGATGGGAAGTTGCAAATAAAGCCCGGGATATTTAAATCCCGAGGTTCATTTGCAATGTCGAATGCCTACATTAGCCTCCCTAGTTCGAACTAGGGGGCTAGTGTAGACATACCTTTAGAAAAGTTAGATTCTGCAAGTCACAGGGCCTGATGAAATGCATCCTAGAATACTCAACGAGCTGATAGTGGAGGTATCTGAACCTTTATCATCTTTGAAAAATCATGGAAGATAGGAGAGATTCCAGAAGAGTGGAAAAGGGCAAATCTAGTGCCCATCTATAAAAAGGGAAATAAGAACAACCCAGAAAACTTCTGTGCCAGGAAATATAATGGCACAAGTAATTAAGCAAACACCACCCTCCTAGTGAAATAGTTAATGAATTAAGTAATTCATTTGCAAACACCTGGAAGATAATAGGGTGTTAGGTAACAGCCAGCATGGATCTGTAAAGAACAAATCAAGTCAAACCAATTAGATAGCTTTCTTTGATAGGATAACGAGTCTTGTGAATAAGGGAGAAGCAGTGGACCTGGTATACCTAGACTTTGGTGAGGCATTTCATATGGTCTTGCATGATCTTCTAATCAATAAATTAGGCAAATGCGACATAGATGGGGCTACTATAAGGTGAGTGCATAACTGGCTGGATAATCATGATCAGAGAGGTGTTTTTAATGGTTCACATTCCTG